AGCCTTGAGGCAACCCCAGGAGCTCTGAGAACCTCATGTTCTAACCACAGGGCACAGCAGGCACACACTGATCAAACAGCAGGTCTTAATTAACAACCTGAAGTGCTTAATGAGTTGTAACCTGTGAAGAAAATTGACTATTGCAATTTTAGGAGACTTGGCTGGTCCATCCTGGATTCCTGGGGAGGAACAAGGCCATTTGTCACCCCTTACAGGCATCACCTCCCAGGAGTCAAGTCAGAGGTGGCCACATCCCTCCAGCCATCCCCTGGCACTGTGAATGGCACAGAGCTCAGGCTCACACACCTCAGCAGCTTCACACCTTCACCTGCCCTTTGCTGTCAGGGCTTCCTGGTGTGTCACCTGGTTTAGCCCAGTGTCACAGGGAGTGGAGGATTCCTTACCAGAGTGTTCCATCCATCCTCAGCCAGCAGCACCCTTCACCCTCCCAGGGGACAGCTGGAACACCCTGATGGGTTTATCACCCTCGTTTGGGCTGTGGTGCTGAAGCCCAGGGCTGCCTGTCAGGTACCTCTGACCACAGAGGTACACCCCTCAGGACACCCCTGACCACGTCACACTTGCCTGTCAGGTATCCCTGGACATCCCTGACCACATCACTCCCACACCTTGTCATCCCTGTTCTCATTCCTTCACCCTCCTCTTCACCACACTCCTTCTTCCATCCCTGTTCCCTCTCAAATAAATTACCTGCCTGGAATTATATTCTCCATTTGGTTCCAGTTTTCCTCCATCTGTACCCAAATTTGGTATTCTGACCTGTCAGTCTGAACCCCTGGGTTCATCCCTCTGCCTGCCCTAGAGACCCTCCCTCGCTGCCATGGCACAAGAGCTTCATCCCAAATCAGGATTAGTGCAACTGGGAGCAAACCTGCTTCAGAGCCTTCAGTCCATGAGTGAAGCCTCTCCATGTCCCCCTGGAGCCATCTCAGAGGGTGGTGACAGTGTGACTTTGGCACAGGACAGACAGACACACAATCAGACACCCTTGCCACTGCTCTGATTTTTCCCTGGATGCTGCTTGTGGTGCTGAGCCTGCCAACACACCAAGCCAAGACTCATAATCCAGGGCCTGAAATCCAGTTAGGCAAATAGGATTTCCTCCTGCTGGTGACTGGGATTTACTGGGGAGGCCTTGGCTCTGCCTGTGTATGTAATCCAGAGCTTGGGGTGCTCAGCCTGTAATTACAGTGCTGGAAATCATCCCTGAGCTCTGTGTGTGGCCACAGGGCCTGGAATTGGTGTCTCCTGTGCCAGGCTGTGCCACTGGGTGAGACCCTGCATGAGGACAGCCTCCTCTGCCTGGGGTGTCCCTGCTCCCACCTTCGATTTGGGCAGCTTTTCCAGGGCAGGGGGATGTGAACATCATCATTTCCCAAGTCATTGTCAGGATTTAGAATGTCTTACCCACTTTCCAAGCCCAGTAAGGGCAAAGTCAAAGTCTTGCTGTGTGTCTTGGAGACCTGCGTCCCCCAGGGGTTCCCAGGTGGAGCAGTGGGGAGCTTCTCCTGTTCCACTGGGATTACTGGGCTGCCAACATTTCCCTGTTTCTCAACCAGGAACCCTGGAGAGTGGAACTATGTCCTGGGATCACAGCACAGCAGCATCTCACAGTGATGGTTGCTCAAGTGATGATAATGCTTTGAAATGAACCTTGGAAAATCCTGGCAGGAGCTCAATGTGCTCTTTGCTGCTGGAGCACCTCCTGGGGGGTCATCCTAATGCTCTCAGTGCTGGTGGCCATGACTTAAAGGCTGTTTCTCCTGTCCCCAGGTGAGCCACCACCCCCCAGCAGCCGCACACCACGTGTACTCCCGGCGAGGGTGGACGTTGTGGCAGGAGATCACCATCGCCAGCAAGTTCAGGGGCAAATACCTCTCCATCATGCCACTGGGTAGGTGCTGGGTGCTGGGAGCAGCCAAGATTGGTGTGCCCTGCACTGCTCATCCAACATGCAAAGGTCGAAGCAGCTGGTCCCTTGGGCTCACCTGAGGCTCTGGGAATTCCTGGGGCTCACATAGGGCTCAGTGAATTCCTTGGGCTTAGTGAATTCCTTGGGCTCACCTGGAGCTCATTTAATTCCTTGGGCTCACGTGGAGCTCTGGAAGTCCTTTAGACTCACTTGGGGCTCAGTGAATTGCACCCTGAGCGGCATAAGAAGCCCAGATTTGTGCTCCTGATGCAATGATCCAACAAGAACATGTCTGCCCTGGAAGTGGCAGTGATGCCAGCTGCAAGGGGGGGCTGCTTGCTTTGGAAATACCCTGCTTGCCCAGGAATTGATTTCTCCTTCCCTGTTTTAACCCTCTCCCTGCCAGCCAGGTGCAATAATTTCCCTCCATCTAATGTTTTTTTGATCTGCACTCATGTCATCAAGAGTACACCAGGCAGCACATTCTGACCTGCTTTTAAAAGGAGTATATTTGGAAGAGGACAGAGGACCTGGCAGGTGTTGTTCCTCCTTCCTGGAGCAAAGGAGGGAGAGAACATGCAGCAAGGGGAGGGATGAATCCAGTTCCAACCCTGGCTGGGGGCAGAGGATGGGGGATGCAAGTAGAGAGGTTGGGATGGCTCTGAGGATGATCACGGGGCCAGGATGGTGGTGGGTTCCAGAGGAGTGTGCCCACAGGTCTGCCCAACCTCTCCTGAGTTCAGGGCACTCCTCTCTCCACAGGAGCCATCCACCTCGAGTTCCACTCCAGTGGGAATCACTATGTCTGGAGGAAAGTCACCTCCACTGTGCACAACATCATTGTGGGCAAGCTCTGGATCGACCAGGTGGGTGGCTGTGGGTGAGGAGACGGGTCCTGCCTGGCCTTGCCTGGCTCTGGTGGGGCTTGAAGGGCATTGCCCTCTTGGGGTGTGTGTACTACCATGCTCCTGCCACCATGGGAAGCTGTGCCTTCCTGGCAGGGATGGGGTGAGGCTGCCTGGAGCTCCTCATGGCTCTTCCCAAGGCAGCTCCATGAAACAGGGTGATGGGGTCACTATGGATGGGGTTGATGGGGGCTACAGCCAGACATGCTGCTGTACCCAGTGTTGTTATTGGTACCTGCACTACAACTAACATTTAATCTGTCTCTCCCTGCTGTGGTTCTGTGTCTTTCATCTAGTCTGGTGAAATAGAGATTGTTAACCATAAGTCCAAAGATAAATGCCAGCTGAAATTTACCCCCTACAGCTACTTCTCCAGGGATGTCCCCCGAAAGGTGAGTGTCCAGCAGCCTCCCTGCTCCTTCTGCCAGACCTGGCTCTTCCCTCTGAGCTGGGACCACAGGCTCCCAGTACCACTGGGGTGAGCTCCTGCATGGGGCTGAGGGGCTGCACTGGCACCTCTGGTGTGGGTCACCAGGGAGTGACCTGGTGGGGGGACCTCTTTGTCCTGTTCTTTGGCTCTCTGTGTGCTAGTGCTGCAGCACTGAGACCTGGGAGGGTTTGCTGGGCTGGAGACCCACCTGCATGGTCAGGATGGGCACAGCTGTGTCTGAGGAGACACAGCACCAGGTCCAGCTGCTTCAGTTGGGGCACCTGGAGGGTGTTCTGCCCCTCTGGGCAATTCCAAACGCCACCATGTCCCTCTGCCAGGTGACAGGGGTGGTGAGTGACGCTGATGGCAAGGCACACTATGTCATGTCTGGGACGTGGGATGAGAAGATGGAATGTTCCAAGATTGTGCACAGCAGCCATGGCAGCACCAGCACGGAGGGCAAGCAGAAAACTGTCTACCAGACACTGTCCCCAAAGGTCCTGTGGAGGAAATACCCTCTCCCGTGAGTAGAATCATGTGCCCAGACCTGAGGATGTGGGAGGGGACCAGGACTTGGTGGGGTGATTGGCTTTTTCTGGGGTGGAAGGAGAGAGCAGGTCCCTGCAAGGGGAGAGTGGCTTTGGGGGACCCTTGCAGGTGGGTTTGGGCAGGTGGGGGTGCTGCTTAGGTTTCTGGGGCTGCAGGCCATGGCAGAGAGGTGTGTTGGCTGCTTTGCCTTTCTGGTGAGTCCTTGCCCATCCTATGCCACCATCCTGTCCCTCCAGTCCATCTCTGGAAACCAGTCCTCCCTCGGCACAGCAGGGCTGCACTCAAACCAGTCTCCAACCTGTGGTAGCACCAACAGCTGGTCCCTGCTGTGGGAATGCTCTGCTGGGATGGTTCCCTGGGGAGAGTATCCTCTACTCAGTGCCACCAGCTCTGCAGCTGGTGATCCAGCAGCCCTTGGGTGAAGCTGTTTGTGTCTCAGCTGTGAAACAGAGCAGTGAGAGTCCATAGGCTTGGTTTTTGTAAGCTTGGCTTTGAGCTTCCCTGTGCAGAGCCAACAACTCCCCTCCAGAGCACCCACTGAGGCATCACTGGTATCTCCACTGGGAGGTTGGGAGGCAGCACTCCCCAGATAACCTCTACAGAGAATCCTTTAGGTTGGAAAAGCCTTTTTAAGAGTAAAACCATTCCCTCAGCACAGCCAAGGACACCACTAACCATGTCCACAAGTGCCACATATGCATAGCTCTTAAATCCCTCCAGGGATGGTGATTCCACCACTACCCAAGCAGGTGTGCCAGGGCTGAATAGCCTTGCCATGCAGAAATATTCCCTAATACCCAATCTAAACTTCCCCTGGCACAGCTTGAGGCTGTTTCCTCTCTCCTCTCCCTTGTTCCCTGGGAGCAGAGCCTGACCCCACCTGGCTGCACCTCCTGGCAGGGAGTTGGAGAGAGCAGAAGGTTCCCCTGAACCTTCTTTTCTCCAGGCTGAGCCCCCACAGCTCCCTCAGCTGCTCCTTGTAGTCCAGACGCTTCCTACCTCTGTTCCCTTCCCTGGACACTCTCCAGCACCTGAGCATCCTCCCCCCTCAGCATGTCCTCACTGCACTACTTCTGGTTCCTCCTCATCCCCTTCTTGTGTTGGAGCCCCATCACAAAAACTCATTCTGGATATTCCACAGGGAACCATCCCCAGCTCCCTCAGCCACTCCTTGTGCTCCAGTCCCTTTCCCAGCTCCATTGCCTTCTCTGAACACCTCCAGCCCCTCAATGTCCCTCTTGTCCTGAGGTCCCAGAACTGCCCCAGGACTGAAGATGCCTCAGCAGTGCCAGCACAGGGATGGACACAGCACAGGGATGGAGAGGCATTCCCAGCTATCCCATGCACAGCCTATGAAAGGATACACTGGGAAGCACCCAAGGCAGCCTCAGGTCATTCCCAGACCCAAAACCCTGAGCAGAGCTCTGTGGCCGCAGGGAGAACGCGGAGAACATGTACTTCTTCTCTGAGCTGGCGCTGACGCTGAACGAGCCCGAGGAGCGCGTGGCGCCCACGGACAGTCGCCTGCGCCCTGACCAGCGCCTGATGGAGAGCGGCCGCTGGGACGAGGCCAACGTGGAGAAGCAGAGGCTGGAGGAGAAGCAGCGAGCCGTGCGCCGGCGCCGCGAGGCTGAGGCCGTGGAGGCCCTCGAGGAAGGTGAGATGCTTCAAGGATGAGTGTGGGGAGGTCCCATGTGTCCTATACTGGGGGAGGTGGATGGAGGGTGGACACTGAAGCTGTGTGGGTGTGGGATTGGAGGGATTTCACATGGAGATGTGAGATACTGGCACACGTTGCTCAAGGGAGGATGTGGCTGCCCCAAGCCTGGCAGTGTTCACAGCCAGGTTGGCTGAGCCTTGAGCAACCTGCTCTGGTGGGAGGTGTCCCTGCCCAGGGCAGGAGGTTGGGGCTGGATGATTTCTAAGCTCCATTCCAACCCCTAAAATTCTATGATTCTATGACATAAGATGAACAAGATGAGCTTTAAGGTCTCTTCCAACCCAAACCATTCCGTGATTCTCCACAGTGGAGGTAACTCTGAAGCAGGGAGAAGTTATTTCAGCTGCTCCAAATGAAGCATTTCTGATGGATTTGTGGTGGCTGAGGTAGAGTTTGGGTTGGTTTGGTGCCACTGATACTGTCAAAGCTCTGGAATTTTACTGGTCATCTGATGTTGACGTCAGTTGGTATAAGAGGTAGATAAAGCAGAGCTGTAAAGATTCTGGAAAATTAGAGACTATGGATGCTTTCAGGATTAGCTGGATAATGATGAAAAAAGGAGATGTCAGGAACTGCAGGGACAGGACAGGGAGTAATGGGGAGAAATTGCAAGAGGAAAATTGAGATGAGATCTTAGGCAGAGGTTTTCCCTGTGAGGGTGGTGAGACACTGGCACAGGCTGCCCAGGGAGGCTGTGGCTGCCCCAACCCTGGCAGTGTTCCAAGCCAGGTTGGCTAAAGCCTTGAGCAACCTGTTCTGGTGGGAGGTGTCCCTGCCCAGGGCAGGGGGTTGGGGCTGGATGATCTCTAAGCTCCATCCCAGCCCCTAACATTCTGTGATCCTAAGGAAAGTATCCCTGATGCCATGTTCCTGCCCAACAGGGAAGGACTACGAGGGGTACATCCCGCTGTGGTTCGAGCGCAAGGTGGACGCTGTGACGGGGGAGCTGATCTGTGTCTACAAGGGTGGCTACTGGGAGGCCAAGGACAAGCAGGACTGGAGTGTGTGCCCTGACATCTTCTGAGTCCCTGCCCATGCCGAGGACCAGCCTGAGGGACAGCACCCGGCGGCACCTGGCAGGGCAAACACACAGTCACAAGGTGCAGAGATCTACACAGGGATTCCAAACCTATTTTTTTACTCACTAATAAATAGCATCCCCCTTTTTTTCTTTTTTCTTTTTTTTTTTAACGAAGGCTTTTTCAGGCACTAATTAGGCACGAGGACACGTGGAACTGGGTTGGGTTTGGGATATTTGTTGCTGTCAGGAGTTGCTGCCTATATCCTTCAGCGTCTCAGCTCCATGGCTGAGACGTCACTTCCAAAGATGCCCGGGGTGAGGGGATGCTGTGCACCTGTGTGAGCTCTTCTCGTTGCCAGGTTTTTTTCCTCCCATTTCTGTGTGGACTTGATGGAATTATTTTTTTAAGAAAAAAATCTGCTCCTGGTTCAGGTTCCTTCAGAAATGGACATGAACTGTATCCTGCTCGGAAAACTGTCCCCAGGGGCTGTGGCGCTCGATCCCGGAGACTCCTGGTGGTTCCTGCAGCACTCAGTCATCCCAGTAACACCAAGTAGGATATTTCAGCTGGTGGCTTTGGCTTTTTGACCTGGTTTTTGGCTTTTTTCAAGAGCGTTTGAGCTGCTTCCCCACAGTCTGATGTGTTCAGTCACAGCTTGGGACTGTCTTTAACGTGATGCTTTGTGGGAGTGGTTTGAGTGAGGTTTGGTTTGGTTTTCCTGCAACCACATCCAGAGGGGGAAACAGCCTCACCGAGGGGAGAAACTCCAGGCAGACACAGTGTGAAGAGGTTTGTATCCCAGCCATGCTCCAGGCTCCATGTACACACTTCATATCCCAGGAACCAGGTTGTCCAGCAGCATCTCCCTGCTGAGCTGTGCCTGAGTGGGAGAGGAGGGAAGAGACGCTGTGGTGTTGCTGGGATGGAGACTTGCTCCTGTATCTCCCACCCCTGTGTCCTCCCCATTCAGCCAGACAGGTCTGAGGGCTGAGACCTCAGACTGGGCTGGACCTTCTGCCCACCAATCCACCTTCTCTGGACCATCTGCCCTGGGCAGGGTGGGGAGCCCTGGACCATCTGGACCATCTCCTCCTCCACAGGCTGAGCCTGGAGGGTTCCTGTGCCCTGGTATGCTCCCATCTCCTTTCTCTCTCCTCCCTCATGGCTGGGCTCATCCTGGAGCAGCTTTAGGTCATCAGGGTGAGGGAACTCACATCCCCCTCACCCCTCCTGTGTGCCGTCCCCTTGCCATGGCCCTGGACCCGCCGGGAGCAGCGGAGCGAGTGCTGCCGATGATCGGCGAGGACCAGGAGCACCAGAGGGAAGCAGGGAGTGGCGGCACCCCGGAGATGGGATCTGCTGGGCCAGAGAGCATCAGGGAGACCTGGACACCCAGGTTGGATCTCATTTGTGATATCTTCTTCTCCGGCTCTTCATCATATCCCCCC